CTGTTTTTCTTATACATTTTATTGTTGGATGTAACTGGGACCCTGTGTACATAATTTCGCTCCACCACATGTACCACATGAGGTGCGAATGACAATAAAGAAACTCTGACTCTGATTTCAGTTATTCAAATTTGAAAATCACACACACACAAAAACTACAAATTGTGACGTAAGACTCCGCCTCTTCGTGCGTGCGTCATGACGTCACAGACGACCCGTCTTCGTCGTGTGCTTCGCTACCGGAGCTGAGCCGCTGTCATCGTTTTACCGGGAGAGGCGAAGGGCATCCGGGATACTGCCTTCGAGCGGAGCCGCCGAGACGCTTTAGGAGGTCGGTTACCGGCTTAGTCCCATCGGTTTACGGGCGAAATGTTCGCACGGAGATGGTCTGATGTGTTCCGTCGCGTGGAGGCGGGTTGAATTTCGATGTAAAACCAATTTAAAAAGCCGCCCAACACTTGTTAGCTTGCTGGGCTAGCCTCGTGCGAGCTAACACACAGCGGCGCAGCGCGAGGTCACCTGTTAACCTCCAACCTCACCTGCCAAAACTGACTCACTCCGCAGGACTAAAGTTTCACCGTTATTACAGCTGTTTAAGTTAGTTATAATTGGCTTCCGTTCATCTGAGGAGCTAACTGGCTAATTACATAACCCGCCGCGTTAGCTGTGAAGCTAATCGTGTCGGGCCTTTGTGCGGAGGAATATTGTGCACTATTTAACTTGTCGGAGCTGGTTAAAGATGTTTTAACCTCCTGGGGAGCTCATTTCAGTGTTTGGGTCAAGAGTCACCAATTTTCGGGAACTCATGACTCGTGAAAGGACAAAGTGATTGATAGTTCGAGTGGCCAATACCGAAGCTTGATTTACCATCTTTGGGCGGAGTTTCCTTAAAGCAACCAATCAGGTGGACGGTGGTGGGCGGGTCCAGACAGGGAGTGGACTCTTAAAACAAGGTCAAAACACAGAAACTCCTGGAGGCTGACGGAGACCGCAGGTTCTGTCTGGACCATCAGAACCACTCGGTAGACTTCTGAACTTATGCAAGTTGTTTCTTAAACAACTGCATATGTGTTTATGTTAAATTAATCGTGTTTGGTCATTTTTAATCTCAACAGGCCAATAATAAGCCATAATATATTATTATTATTAATATCTGTTGTCATTTTGCCACCAAGACATTCTGGAGCTGTTAACTTCAACAGATGGCATTTAAATACTGCACCCATTTCTACTAAATATTGATAATAATATGTGTCCTTTAATGTGACCTAAGGATGCTTATCAAGCCAGACCTAAAGGAAGTGTAGACTGCTAAAGCAATAAAAAGGTAACGAGCTGTTCTCTCATGTTTATGCTTACATGAGTAGCATCTTAAAACGAACAACCCCCCCAAACAAGCTGATTTCACCCACATCGTGTTGTTTGTGTTGTCAAAAAGATCTGACATTAAAGCAGTCATAAAGACCATTTTAGTCAACGTTTCCTTCAAACCACAGTTATTTAATTTTAATTCAGTTTAAACGCATGAGGAAACCTCCACTCACACACATTAAATATAACGTTTGTGTTATTTCAGCCGTCCTTAATCGTGTGGCTGTCAGAGAGAAAAGTTAGGAAGGCGAGTATTTTTGTCCAGGTTGCCACCAGGACACTTATCTCCTCTGAGCTCCTGCGTTCAGGTAAAACACATGATTTTTATCAGTTACATCAAGAAGGAAAGGCACAGATTTGATCAGATTTCCTAAAGTTAGGAGGACGCAGATGGTCTGCAGCAACAGGTTGCCATTAAAAGCTACCAAGGGAGCGGCGTTAGCTGTCATTTTGAGCTGGGCTCGATCCAAGTCTCAAAGTTTAAAGTTCACATAAAGTAGAACGTGGAACCAGCAGGTCTGTCTGTGTGGACTTTTTGACCCTTTTGCATCTCCACAGACACCCTTCTGTCAGAAGCAGCTGCTCTTGTATTGGATCAGAACATCATAGGTCTGCCTTCGCTCCTCATCTACATCAATGATCCTTGGTCTTCCTGTCTCTAGTTCTCTGGTTCTCCTCCTTTGGCCTACTTGTCGTGACATGTCCTGTCCATGTCTACGGATGAGAACATCGACAGGTGTGGAGAGGTTCCCGTCTCTCTAATCTCGACAGTTCGGTTCTTAAAGTCTCACAAATCGTCACGCTGAAGAATTTCTCCCCTGAAACGGGTTCAGAAAGTTCACACGCTGTCAGATGGTTTCCACCCGTTCAGTTGCTATAGTAACCAGATAATGTTCAGCTGTCGGGTGGTCATAATGTTATGGCTGACCAGTAGAACTTTCCTGTCCCCTCTCGTGCGCCAGGATTCGTCCTGTAAATAAAGTTGATTTTAGTAGTTTAGACAATGAGCAGCAGAACTTCCTCTGAAACATAATGACACGTTTACACAAAATAATAATACTTGAGATTTTATGTATTTATTTTTCCCTGTGAACACGGAGCAGACGGCTTGTTGAGGAACCTGAGAGCTGCTTAACGTGCAGCTGTGAGGAAAAGGACTCGTTCAGACCGTTCTCGTAAACACCGTGAGCCTTTTTGACCTCACTTCATTAATCTGATGTTTTCCTTCGGTTTCTTTGATACATTTGTTTCTTCGGCTTGTTTTATTAAAACAAATCTGAGACGAACTCGTCTGTTTTCTCAAACTGGTCGGATCATCCATGATGGTTAGTGACTCGGTCTGATAATTAAACTGGGAGGAGGAGAACGATGAAGCCAAATAAAAGTCATTCTTGTTTATTTCACTCCCCTGGTGGAAAAACTGTGTCATACTTTTTAAATTTAACTGTAAAAACTTATTTTTAGATCTGGCTTGGTCCTAAATATGCAGATTTTTCTCCAACTCTGGTTCTCTCACTTGTCCTGTGTGTTCATCTGCTCACCTGCTTTAAACATGACATATTTTGCTAACAGACAGACATGAGAAGACATTATCACCTGCCTTTTAGAGGCAGTAAATTAATTGTTCAGTGATTCCGCTGGTTTCTCTTCCTGTCTCATGGTGTCTTTCTCCCCCTCAGCGGACATTTGATCAGCACTTCCTGTCCGAGGACCGGCCTGGGTGGAGTTTAACTTCCTGTCGTCGCTGTAAGGTCGAGGACGTCCGGCCCGCCGGACTGACCACCTCCGTGTGTGACACGTTAAGGACTTCTCATGCATCGTTTAAGGACTTGTGCGGCGCGGTTGCGCCCGCTCACCGCCTCGCAGGCGGCTCAGACTGTCGGCCAGCAGCGGCCAATCACAGCAGCCCCCACGGGCAGCACAAGGACGTTTCAGCCTGTCAGGTGCTACTCTTCACCTGTGGCCTCTGAGCCGTTCCTGAACGGGACGAGCTCCAACTACGTGGAGGAGATGTACTACGCCTGGCTGGAAAACCCCAAGAGCGTTCACAAGGTGAGAAACAGATGGAGGGGCGGGGCTTGTTTCAGGTGGTACACAAAATAATCAAAGATTTAAAGGTAAACTGGAGAAATCTGGTTGTCAGACTGAACAATGAAACTGAACTGGTCTGAGGGAATCGAACATTGAACTGCTGGAAAATGACTGCGTTCATAAAAACGTGACAGATGGAACCTACAGGAGAAACAAATCAGCACCAGCTGCATCCAGATGCTCTTCCGTTGTTTCATCTTCGATATTCTGCCGCAGCAGAAAGTCGTTTCAGCTCAGATGGGTTAGTTTCAGATCATAAATAAAAAAGTTTACCCTGATCTGTATCAAACGGTTCAGTTTAACGAGCTTGCTTCAGTAGTTTTCCACAAGTATTAACGTGACCTTCTGAAATGTGGGTATGCATTCATTGTAAACAAAACACTCGACTGTATCCACAAAAAAATAAACAGACGTGGCCGAATCAGACCAACGTTGAGTGGAAGACATTTAGGTGCTGCTGTAAAATTATAGCCGACAGCTTTTTGCAGTGCGCCTGAACAAATGTGTCTTACTGTTTTTTTTTAAGGTTAATATTCCCAGTTTTCAAGTTTTTTTTATTTTTTATTTAGATTGTTTTAAAAGCCTGTCTGCAGACTCTACTCAACTCTGAGCATAAACACAAACCAACACATCAGAACTGTCGGACTTCTTCATCCCAAACTGCTCTCCTGTGGACGTCGCCTTTATCAACGTATTTTCAGTCACTTTAGAATCAAAGCAACGTTTAATTTATTCATGAAGAGTTTATTTGTGATTACATGTGACTCAAAGTCCAGACACGGGAAACAACCACACAGAAGCGTAACTGGACCTAAGAGCTCTGAAGTGTCTAACAGGAAGAAGGCAGGTTTTATTTTTGTTCATTTAACTAATAATTAAGTCGGAGTCAGAGTTTCTTTGCACCACATGTGGTTCACAGGGTCCCAGTTACATCCAACAAAAGTATAAAATGTAAAAGACAAACGGTTATAAGATCCAAGATATGAACTAAAAAAAACATCAACTAAATATACACTAAGTACAAAAACATTACGCCGAACAGCAGCACGAACATGAGTCTGTGTGAGCAGATGAGCACGAACACAGCAACATGAAACAGATCAGCAGCAACATGAAACAGATCAGCAGCAACATGAAACAGATCAGCAGCAGCATGAAACAGATCAGCAGCAACATGAAACAGATCAGCAGCAACATGATGTGATTTTTCACAGTGATTATTCTGGTTAGAGATTCACGAGTCTTAACAGCCTCAGGGTAGAAGCTGTTCCTCAGTCTAGTGGTTCTACACTTAATGCTCCTCAACCTCCTTCCTGAGGGGAGCGGGGGGCAACAAGTGTGTGTGCTGGGTGAGTGTGGTCCTTCATGATGCAGGTGGCTCTCTTCCTGCATCTGGAGGTGTAGATGTCTGTGATGGTGGGGAGACTGACTCCAACATCTTCTGTGCAGCCTTCACCACTCTCTGCAGAGCTTTTCTTTCTGCAGGAAGAAGGCAGTTTTATTTTTGTTAATTTCCACTAATTATTTACATTTAACTAATTGAATAAATGGCACATCGTCAGAATCAACAGTTCTGGCTTTAAATGCAGCGAGCAGCTACAGGAACGTCTCTCAGCTGTTTGGTTTCGTTTTAGCATCAGTAGTTTTCTTTCTGCGGTCGGTGAACCGTCTGAGCAAACGGGTGACCCGTTCTCCAACAGTCAGAAGAAGTGGTTTGATCATGATCGAAGGTTCGTGATGAGTATCAGTCGTCCTGAGTGTGATTTAACAACAAGAACACGTCTTCACCCCCTCGGCTGCAGACAGTGCAGTGAGCGGCTGTCGCTCGGAGCGGAGCTGGTTGTGTTTCAGTGATCTGAATCTTAAAGGACAGACGGCTAATATTAGCTGCCACTGTCACGTGCTGGACTTGTTTCACAGCTGAGGTCAGAACGGAGGCTGCAGCCACAACCAGAACTTCATCCATGATAAAGATCACTAAGAAGATCCTCAACACGTGCATTAAAGCAGGACAATTACATTTGATCAGATTTATTGATCGATTCAAAAAGATCCAACCGTTGGCTCATTTTCTGGACGTGTGCTGTTGTTTTTAACTCTGTAAATGTTGGGGTCACCGAGGAGTCGTGTTGCTTCTTACGGCACGTCTCGGCCTTCACGAGCTCATCGGGACCGTCCAGGTCTCACTGCTTTGACCGCTCGTTACTGTGAAGAGCTGCAACTCCATTTTATTTAACCTGTTCAAATTAAACCTGCTTTTTAACATCAGTAAACACTGAGCTCAATAAACTTCTGACGTTTTTCACAAACTTTCTGTGGATTCTTGGACTTGTTTTTATTAAAAAAGCCTTTTTGAAAGTCTTAAATTGTCAAATCAAAATCATTGTGGTTTGTCTTTTAAGGAAAGCCATAACAGCTGTCAAAATTAGAGCTTTTCTTTATTTTAGTCTATAATTTTCCTGCTTCTAACACTTTCGACATGATTTGCGCTGGATGTGGCTCACACTGGTCAGGGTTTTTGTGAAACTTGCTGCAAAAATTCCCCGTCTTTGTTGACAACAAAATCCAGGGACCGTTCCACGTGATCTTGACTCCAACCTTTGCTCGACGTCCTCCTCCTCTAGTCATTTCTTTTCAGACGAGGAGCTTCACCCTTTGTCTCCGAGTCCATCGTTCTCCGACTCTGTTTACATGCAGGGATTATTTTACTGACTCAAGACTGTCCAAAGTGTCCTCATCAATGTTTGAATGTAAACAAACAAGTAACTGTCTGCTACAGAGCACGGCTCTGAGAGTTCACTCATAATTAACTGGTGTGTGGACTTTTGGTGAATGATTCAGTTAAAGATGAAACAGACGAAACATTTGAATGTAAAACGTTGAAAAAGTCACGTGTTTTAGACAGACTTGATTAGAAGTAGCTGTAAACCACAAACTGTTTTAGCAGCTCTTGTAGTTATGAGCGCTGCATTTCTGATTAAACACATTTACTCTGTGGTTGACGCCGGTGCCAGGCGGTTCTTGAATTACAGTCCTGCTGAAGTCTGAACATGACGTTCTTCAGACATTGGAAATGAGTCAGAGCTGTTGACTCTTGTTTGGATTTGAGTGTTTGTTTTTTATTAAAACAAGAATTGCTGAGTTATTTTTTTCTGTTGGAGTTGGAGCTGAGTCCTTTCACAGCTGTACGACCCGCTGTTGGTGGCAGGAGCTAACAATGCTAAGCTAAACGATCAAACACGCGTCATGCTTCAGTTGTAAGAAGGTCTGAAGCAGTAAAGATTTAAGAACCCAGCCTTCCTTGGAGCATGTCCCCTGCTGGCTTCCATGCCAGAGGTTCAACAAGTCTCAGCTACTACCGCACCAAGTTTAGCTAACAGTCTGACTGAGTTATAACCATTATATGTTTGCAAAGATCAGCAGGCGTTGGCGGCCATCTTGACTCTAGAAATTATTCAGTGATCACTTTCTGAGTTTCATTAAAGTTTGTCCTGTGATTCATGAGATATTTGGCTAACAGACAGAGCTGACTTTAGCAGATGTCATGCGGTCGGTTAGCTTTCAAAGGATACGCTCAGTTCTAGATGTTTTTATGTCGGCTAAGGTTGATTAGGTGTGGCAGCCATCTTGAATTGGTGATGGCCAAATATCAGATTGAAATCAGCCACTAAGATGTGCTGAAATGAAATAATAAATCATATCTGTGTAATAATCTGTACCTGGTGAACCTCCGGTGGTCTCATCCAGCTGAGACCCCCTGCAGGAGGAACTGTATGGACAGATTTCTGAAACAACTGAACCTTGACTCTGAACCAGCTCTGGTTTTCCTGCGTCTCATATTCTGACAAAAGTTTGAGTGAAGGCTGATTTTAAAGGACTGTTGCTGGAAGTCTGATCAATCTAAAAACTCACATGAGTTTGCAGTGTTTCTCCTAGTTAGCTTGCCATGGCGGGGTGCTCATCTCATCCATGATTTTTGTTGGCGGGGGGACGGACACGTGTCTGAGCGCAGAATGTGCTAACGGTTTTTGAGTGGGGGGGCGTTCAGCATGAGGGAAAAGGCAACGTGAGCGCTGCTTTTAGCTTTTTAGCTATAAAGCCTGTATTTCGCACCATTAGCTTAGTGCTATGTCAGTGCTGGGTGGGTGGGTGGGGGTACAATTTGGTTTAGTAGGTGGGGTGCTCCGTGCTGTTGATGGGGTGGAGCGCCCCACTTGTATAATGGCAGGGTTGGTTTGGAAACGTGAACAGTTCATCGATCTGTGTGCCGCTCTGACATCATCAGTTGTTGATGTTCACACCTGGTTACTCCTTCATGGTAACATTTTAAGATAAGCAGATTAAAAATAATCTAGAGTCTCTACATGGGACGAGATTGTAAGAAGAGGCAGGAACCAGAACGACAGATAAATGTTTCAGGTCACAAAATGAAGTTAATCATCATTCATGATGTGATATTGAGTCTTTAGTAGACCTGAAAACTAAAAGTAAAAAAACAAAAACCTCCCAACATGATTTTAAACATTTTTTCCCATCTGACCTCTCCTCCAGTCCTGGGACGTGTTCTTTCGAAACGCCAATGCGGGCGCTCCTCCCGGTGCCGCCTACCAGTCTCCTCTGGATCTGTCGGCGGCGGCGGCGGCGGGCCTCGGCATTCCTCAGCTGTCCTCGCTGGTCGGAGCCCAGCCCAACGTGGAGAAGCTGGTGGAGGATCACCTGGCTGTCCAGTCCCTCATCAGGGCCTACCAGGTACAGAGACACACACTCGGGGCTGGAGTCTAACCTGAACACACAACTCAGGTGTTTATGTATAGAAAAACACAATTATCAACTTTTATTTTAATTTAAAAACCTGCAGGTAAACGTTCAAGTTTAGTTTGAGCACGCATGAAGGCGACAGTGGAAAAAAAAACTCCCTCATGAGGAAGAAACCTTTAGCAGAACCAGGATCAGGACAAGAGGACCATCTGCTTCGACTGGCTGGGTTTGGTAGTAATAGATACACAATGGCAGGTCAAGAATCACATGTTAAAATAGAAATAGTATCAAATGAAAACTATTCAATTTTAACAATTCATTTAAGGAAATGAGGTCAGTTTGTCCTCTAGTAGTCTAAGTCTATAGCAGCATAACAAGCCGACCCTAACTATAGGATTTATCAAAAAGGAAATTCTTAATCCCAGTCTTAAACTGGACAATGTGTCAGCCTCATGGACAGAAACTGGAAGTTGGTTCCACAAGAGAGGAGCCTGAGAACTGGAAGATCTTCCTCCCATTCTGCTGCTGGAAACTCTAGGAACCACAAGTAAACCTGCAGTCTGAGAGTGAAGTGCTCTGTTAGTAAAATATGGAACAATAAGATCTGTAATATAAGATGGAGCTAGGTTGTTGAGAGCTTTGTAGGTTAGAAGTAAGATTTTGAATTCTATTCTGGATTTGACAGGGAACCAATGGAGAGAAGCTAAAACTGGAGAGATATGATCTCTCCCAGTAACTCCAGTTAAGACTCTGGCAGCAGCATTTTGGATCAACTGAAGACGTTTTAAAGAAGTATTTGGACACCCAGATAATAAACCATTGCAACAGTCCAGTCTAGACGTGACAAATGCATGGACCAGTTTTTCTGCATCAGTTAAAGATCCGATGTTTCTAATGTTAGTGATATTACGCAGGTGGAAGAAGGAGGTTCTAGTAACGTTTTTAATGTGGGGGATAAAAGACATGTCCTGATCAAAAATAACACCAAGATTTTTAACATTAGAGCTGGAGGACAGATTAATGCATCTAAGGAGGGAGAAAGACTGAAACATTCATTCCTAAGGTGCTCAGGTCCAAAAACCAAAACCTCAGTCTTGTCTGTTCAACAGGAGAAAATTAAGGGTCATCCAGGTTTTTATGTCTTTAAGACATGCTTGTAGTCTAAGTAGCTGATTGGATTCATTGGGTTTAATGGACAAATATAACTGTGTGTCATCAGCATAACAATGAAAATTTATCCCATGCTGTTTAATAACTTTACCTTATGGAAGCATATATAAAGTAAAGAGTATTGGTCCAAGCACTGAACCCTGAGGAACTCCACAACTAACTTTGGTGTATGATAAAGACTCATCATCATCATCATTTACAAATTGGAATCTATCAGAAAGATATGATTTAAACCATTTTAGAGCTGTTCCTGTAATCCCAACATCATATTCAAGCCTCTGTAGTAAAATATTGTGATCAACTGTATCAAATGCAGCACTGAGGTCTAACAGGACCAGTAGAGACACAAGTCCATTGTCAGAGGCCATGAGAATATCATTAGTGACTTTCACCAGTGCACATTCAGTGCTATGATGAGCTCTAAACCCTGACTGAAACTCTTCAAACAGATTATTTCTTTGTAGATGATCACACAGCTGACCTGCAACTATTTTCTCTAGAATTTTTTAGATGAAAGTTAGATTAGTTGTAGGTCTATAATTGGCCAGAATTCCTGAGTGAAGATTATGTTTCTTAAGTAAAGGTTTAATTACAGTAATCTTAAAGCTCTGTGGTACGTAATCATTTATTGGAGACAAATTAAGCAGATCCAAGACGTGGTTATTAATTAAGGGAAATGTCTCTTTAAACAGTCTGGTTGGGATCTAGCAGGCATGTGGATGGTTTGGATGAGGTTATTATTTTTGACAATTCAGAGCTCAACAGGACAAAAGCAGTCCAAACACAAATCAGGTTCTAGTGACATTTTTAATTTGTCTCATCTGACACAGAACCAGAGGTGATACTAGGAATGTTGGTTTGAATTTCTTCCCTAATTGAAATAATTTTATTTATAAAGAATCTCATGAAGTCGTCACTACTTATAGTTGTAGGGACACATGGTTCAACAGAGAGAGGATTTTTCATTAGACTAACTATTGTGCTGAAAAGGAACCTGGCGTTATTTTTATTCTCATCAATTAAAGATGAATAATATAAAGTTCTAGCTTTACGGAGCGCTTTTTTGTACGTTAGTAGGCTGTCTCTCCAGGATAAGTAAGATTCCTCAACATTAGTGGAGCGCCATTTTCTTTCTAGTTTGTAGATATCTGTTTTAAAGTACATAACTCAGAATTGAACCAAGGAGCTAATCTCCTGATTACTTTTTTTTTCCAGCGGAGCAATTTTATCAAGTGAAGTTTGCCAGGTAGTTGTAAATTTATCAACCAGATGATGTAAGTCACTGTTCTCTGATGCATTACTCTGCAAGACAGAGGAAAACAATAGAAGAGATTGTTTAAATTTGGTTACAGCATTTTCTGATAAGCACCTGCTGAGATGAAATTTACTCTGTGACTGTGTAGTCATTTAATGTAAACTCAAAGGTTACTAAAAAATGGTCGGACACAGGTGATAACGTGTGTGTTCAGGTGATAACAGTGTGTGTTCAGGTGTGTGTTCAGGTGATAACAGTGTGTGTTCAGGTGATAACAGTGTGTGTTCAGGTGGAATTGTGTGTGTTCAGGTGTGTGTTCAGGTGATAACGTGTGTGTTGGGTGTGTGTTGGGTGTGTGTTCAGGTGATAACGTGTGTGTTGGGTGTGTGTTCAGGTGATAACGTGTGTG